ACTCTGAGTTTCACGTCCTTTCTAGACGATCATCAGGCGATTTTGTTCACGATTTTGTTCTTACGTGATTGCATCATCAACCGTTTGCTGACGCGTTGACTTGTTTGTTCGCGCGCGTTCGAATTTCCCGGCGCTGAATTTTTCTCGATGGCGACATTTGGCGAAGAACTCGGATCTTCTGTTCAACAGATTGGTTTTATCTGACTTCATGATTTCTAATTTCTCTTCTATGCACAAATTGCAACACCGACCGCCAGGTACATACGCTGCTGCTCGTTTCAAAATGGACCACTTAATACTGTATTCCTTTTTCTTGTCCCTCAAATCCCATACGTATTTGGAAAGTTCTGTGTCAGACGAGTACGTAGGCTTATTAAACGACTTTTTGTGATTTCTGTATCTAACAATTTCTGTATCTATCTATATCCAGGTGATCTCGTGTTCGTATTTTAGCCAATCAGCGCTCAGAAAGGGTTGTCCGAATAGAAATCCATTTTGATGTATTCAGTCAATTATATCTTTCGTTATTCTTTATGAAACTAGTTGAAATTTTGTAATTATGTTTGGTTATGAGAACAACAGCTCTGACAAAAATATGGAATCGAAATAAAGTATATTACAGGAGATATTCAGTTGTTTTAATCATAAAATGGATTTCTATATTTGACAACTAGTGCCAGTACTTTTCCGCGTATCAAGATCACCTGGATATCTATATATCTATATCTATATATCTATATCTATCTAATATATCTATCTATCTATATATATATATCTATATATCTATATATATCTCTATATATCTATATATCTATATATCTATATATGTCTATATATATCTATATATATATATATCTATATACAGGGTGTATCAAAAAAAGTGCAATCCTCGACTGAAATGTAAATTGCTAAACAAATAATGGACGAAAACGTTAAAGTTTACATTTATTTTAAAGCGTAGCCATTCAGCTTTCTAACAGTGGGTTGTTTCTTAAATTTGACTCATTGGTTCGCGGGTAATAATACTTTACGTT